AGAGCATGGCATGTGGGGGCCACCCCACTAGGCAGCGCGTTGGGGCCCACCTGCTGAGTTGGGATCCCCGCACCTGTGCAGAGTGGCTGCAGAGCACACGCCAGAGGGCGCGCTGACTCCGTTGCTAGAAGCGGAGGGGGAGGGGCGTGCGCGCGAGGTCGAGCAAAGCACCAGGACAGTGGTGACAAAGGGGTCCCCTCGATGCCCCCATCAGGCCAATACCCTCTGGCTTTATTTTTATTTTTATTTTATTTTGAGACGGAGTTTTGCTCTTGTCTCCCAGGCTGGAGTGCAATGGCGCGATCTCGGCTCACTGCAACTTCCGCCTCCTGGGTTCAGGCCATTCTCCTACCTCAGTCTCCTGAGTAGCTGGGATTACAAGCGCCCGCCACCACGCCCGGCTAATTTTTGTATTTTTAGTAGAGACGGGGTTTCACCATGTTAGCCAGGCTGATTTCAAACTCCTGACCTCAGGTGATCTGCCCGCCTCCACCTCCCAAAGTGCTGGGATTACAGGCGTGAGCCACTGCGCCTGGCCTATTTTATTTTGCTTTATTTTATTTTATTTTTTTGAGACAGAGTCTTGCTGTGTCAACCAGGCTGGAGTGCAGTGGCAGGATCTTGGCTCACTGCAACCTCCGCCTCCCGGGTTCAAGCGATTCTCCTGCCTCAGCCTCCTGAGTAGCTGAGATTACAGGCGTGCACTACCACGCCTGGCTAATTTTTTGTATTTTTAGTAGAGACAGGGTTTCCCTACGTTGCGCAGGCTGGTCTTAAACTTCTGAACTCAGGCAATCTGCCCGCCTCAGCCTCCCAAAGTGCTAGGATTACAGGTGTGAGCCACCGTGCCCAGCCTTTTATTTTATATTATTTTATTGAAACGGAGTTTCCCTCTGTCGCCCAGGCTGGAGTGCAGCGGCATGATCTCTGTTCTGGGCTCCTTGCCTCCAGGGTTCTGTTGTGGCTGGATCAGTGTTAGGCCTCTCCTGGCTGCAGGGAGACTGGCTGCAGAGGAATGGGGACCTGCTGAGCCATGAGCTTTAGGGAGATGCCACCGGCCTCTAAATGGACTCAGCTTTGGCCACCAAATGAGCCTGGAAGCCCTGGTCTTAGTTTGGTTGCCTCAAGCCCAGGATCCACCTAGTTCTGGTACAGGAGCTTGGAGCTTAGGACAGCGAGAGGGAGTGCAAAGGGCCCAGTAGCAGGAGGGGTGAAGGGTGTTGGCTGTGTGCTCACCCAAGGAAGATACCACAACTGGACTGGCTCCTCAGTCTCCGGATTTATTCTGTAGAAAAGAGTCAAACTCTGTAAAATATTTGGACACTTTTTTTTTAGATGGAGTCTTGCTCTGTCTCCCAGGCTGGAGTGCAGTGACATGATCTTGGCTCATTGCAACCTCCGCCTCCCAGGTTCAAGTGATTCTCCTGCCTCAGCCTCCTGAGTAGCTGAGACTACAGGTGCCCGCCACCATGGCCAGCTAATTTCTCTATTTTTGTAGAGATGGGTTTCGCCATGTTGGCCGCCAGGCTAGTTTCAAACTCCTGACCTCAGATGATCAGACCTTTAAAAGTTGCTAGACTCTTAATCTTTTCAGGATTGGGAGGGCCTGGAAGAAAAAGAACTAGCTATGTTAATATAATTTCTTTTTTTTTTTTTTTTGAGACGGAGTCTCACTCTGTCGCCTAGGCTGGAGTGCAGTTGTAGCAGGACCAGCGGCAGACAAAACTCCTCAGACACCGAGTTAAAGAAGGAAGGGGTTTATTTGGCCGGGGGCATCGGCAAGACTTCTGTCTCGAGAGCCGAGTTCCCCGAGTGAGCAATTCCTGTCCCTTTTAAGGGCTCACAACTCTAAGGGGGTGCACGTGAGAGGGTCGTGATTGAGTGAGCAAGCAGGGGGTACGTGACTGGGGGCTGCATGCACTGTTAATTAGATCGGAACAAAACAAGATAGGGATTTTCACAGTGCATTCCTATACAATGTCTGTCATCTACAGATAACAGAACCAATTAGGTCAGGGGTCGATCTTTAACCACCAGGCCCAGGGTACGGCGCCGGGCTGTCTGCCTGTGGATTTCATTTCTGCCTTTTAGTTTTTACTTCTTCTTTCTTTGGAGGCAGAAATTGGGCATAAGATGATATGAGGGGTAATCTCCTCCCTTACAGTGGCGCCATCTCGCCTCACTGCAAGCTCCGCCCCCCAGGTTCACGCCATTCTCCTGCCTCAGCCTCCCAAGTAGCTGGGACTACAGGTGCCCGCCACCACGCCCGGCTAATTTTTTGTATTTTTATTAGAGATGGGGTTTCACGGTGTTAGCCAGGATGGTTTCAATCTCCTGACCTCGTGATCCACCCGCCTCCCAAAGTGCTGGGATTATAGGCGTGAGTCACCGTGCCAGGCCAATAGAAATTCTTTACAGATGCAAATTTTCCTCCACAAAGGACAGTTGTGCAGGGCCATTTCAAAGTATGGCAAAGAAACATTGTTTTGGAATATTTTGACTTTCTTGTCACCTAATGTTATGCCAGAGTCAGACTGCAAAGTCCCGATATATAGGATTAAATAAAAGCCATCCAATGAGAATTTATGGTTTGTAGGGCAAACCATACAATTTGAGATAGTAATTTGAGCAAGATTTCAAAAAAAATCAGGGCCGGGCCTGGTGGCTCACATCTGTAATCCCAGCACTTTGGGAGACCTAGGTGGGCGGATCACCTGGGTTCAGGAGTTCAAGACCAGCCTGGCCAACATGGCGAAACCCTGTCTCTACTAAAAAATACAAAAATTAGCTGGGCGTGGTGGCGGGTGCCTGTAATCCCAGCTACTCTGGAGGCTGAGGCAGGAGAATCGCTTGAATCCGGGAGGCAGAGGTTGCAGTGAGCTGGGATCGCACCACTGCACTCCAGCCTGGGTGACAGAGCAAGACTCTGTCTCTAAAAAAAAAAAAAACAGTGTCAGCCTGGCATGTGGAGAACGACCCACAGGAACGAGGGTATGCATTGGGACATCAGTGATGAGGCTGTTGTGGGAATAGGGTAGTGTGGTTTGGGAAGGGTAGAGCTGGCTAGCCCTTATGACCACCTGAGTTGTGGTTCTGAGAAGCATGGAGGCATCCAGAGCTCAGGATGATGCCAAGTCTGCAGCCTGGGGGATCAGGTGGATGGCAGAGTCATTGTGAAAAGGGAGGACCTCACCTTCTGACTCTTCTCCACAGTGCCAGCATGGGTCATTGCTGACTGGGCCTTGCCATTCTGCCCCTAATGGCTGTGGTTCCTAACACATGCAGGGCCTGTGGGGGTGAAGCACCAGGGAACCCCTCTTGAGGACAGGGCTACGCTTCCAGGGGCCCATGACATGGGACCCTGGATGCTGCTGGGCTGGCAAGACATTTAGACTGTGGCCAGAGTCCAAGGTGGCCCAGCACCTCTTGATCTTTCCCTTCCTCCACTTAACCTTTGACTGGACTCCTGCCTGTCCCTAGGCCTGCAGAAGAGTCTCTATGGTCTCCCACGCTGGGATTTCACCAGATGGGTCTTCACCGATCTTCTGTTGGGTGAAGGTGGGGGAGGAAGGGGCTTTGGGAATCCTGAGCCAGGGCCTTAGGGGGAGATGGCTGGACCTTAAGAGAGGGTGGGGCTGGGCACAGTGGCACACACCTGTAATCTCAGCACTTTGGGAGGGTGAAGCAGGTGGATTACTTAAGGCCAAGAGTTCAAGACTGGCCTGGGCAACATAGTGAGACCCCCAACTCTACAAAAAATAAAAAAACTAGCTGAGTGGGGGTGTACACCTGTAGTCTCAGCTACTCAGGAGGCTGAGGTGGGAAGGATCGCTTGAGCCTGAGAAGTCAAGGATGCAATGAGCCGTGATTGCGCCACTGTACTTCAGCTTGGGTGACAGACAGACCCTGTCTCAAAATAAAGTAAAATAAAATAAAGAATGAAAAAAGAAAGAGGGAGGATAGTGGTAGCCCAGTCACCAACATGTTTCATTATAAGAACTCGAGAAGGGCAGGGCAAGATCGTGGCTTCATAGCCAGGTCAGCTGCTTACCAAGAAGAAGGAAGGAAGTGGCAGGACAAATTTATTGGGACCAGATGGGATGACCAGGGCGCAGCTGCCCCTTCGAAGGGGTGTGTGTGGGAAGGATCAAGACCTCTATTTCCCAAATACTCTCGTCTCTCTATCCCACAGTGACCTATGGTGCCGGCTGTCAGGTCTTTGTCCACTCTGTTTGCCCCTGCTTCCTGGCGCAGGGAGTCTGTGTCCTCTCCGGTTCCCCAGGTTTGCGTGAGTGGAGAGGGATCACGAGCTCCCGATGCCTCTCCTGCTCTACAGGCGAACTTGCTGATGGCCCATGGCGCAGGATCGAGGCTGAAGCCCACTCCCAACCCCGCGCCCGAACTACCCGGACTAGCGGGGTGACGCTGCACTCTGCGCCCCCAAAACGAACAGATTAACCCCACTCTTGGGAACTGAACATGCTGACCTGGCCTCTCCCGGTTCCCTCCGCATCTGTAACCCCGGGGCAGAGTTACAGGGGCTGACTGGCCGAACCCAGGTGCCCTCGGGGCAGGGTGTGTTAAGAATTGGTGTGCGGGTTGCACAAAGGTCCTGGTCAGCTCCTGGTCACCTGAGGCCCAAGAACTGTCAGGCACTCACTTCCCCTCTTCTTGCTTTAACCGGGGTCGCTCAGCAGCAGCGAGCGCTGCACCCCTTATCCTCTCCCTGTCTTGTTCGTTCCAGATCCTCCAGGTCAGGGCGTCGCCAGGTGAGGGCTGCGCAGCGCGGATTTCGGGTACTCAGGGCTGGGCGGGGTACACAGCAGCGGCGAGGTGGGTCCCCGGGTGGGCGGCTGAGAGCCCGGAGCCAGGCGGTAAGTACCTCGATCTATCGATGCGCTCGGCGCGCAGCGTGGTCCCGGGAGCAGGGGGTTGGGCAAGCGCAGGGCGGTGAGCCCTGACTGGGAGGGACGTATATGGCGGCGAGTCCCTATTGGCAGGCCGTTTGCGGGAGGAGGGCTCTGATTGGCCGGGAGGATGCGGGGGATGCGGGCGGCGGGGTTAAGTGCGTCGCCACCGCCCCCGCCTAGGCGAGAGCCCAGAGAGCTGAACCTGCAGCCTGGACCTGCAGCGACCGTCGTACACCATGGGCCTCCACCTCCGCCCCTACCGTGTGGGGCTGCTCCCGGATGGCCTCCTGTTCCTCTTGCTGCTGCTAATGCTGCTCGCAGACCCAGCGCTCCCGGCCGGACGTCATCCCCCAGTGGTGCTGGGTGAGGCATGGGTCTCGTGGTGGGTCAGTCGGTCGGGCGGGACGGGCCGCGGGCGGGGCTACCTTCCCGGTCTGCATCTGTTCCAGTCACGAAATGGGGGAGCGTATTGGTGTCTGTCTTGTCACTTAGGTGATCTAGATCTGCCGGCCCACCTCCCGCCATGCTAGGCCGGGTGTGGTCAGCTCCCCACCTCCTGCCCTGGTAGAAAATGGGGGTGAGTGGGTGAGTTACCATCTGGTTATTCATAGTTCCACTTGTCTGCATCATTCCCAAGCCTTGCCTCCCCTTACCCCATTTTTTAGCTGGAAAGACAGGTGCTTCAGCCCCACTCCTGAGGGCTGGTGGGGTTGTGTAGAGTGGCTCCTGAGTTGACCTCTGCATCGACGTGGGCCTGGCTAGAAGGCTGTCACCCTCGACCCTTCCAATGCCACATATACCAGAAGTCATTACTGAAGGGAACCTCCTTAGGGAAAGGATTGCTCTCCTAGCTGGCCACCAACTCCCACAACTTATCAGATGTGTGGCATTTCCTGAGGGAAAAGGCCTAAGGGAAACTGAAGACGCTGAAGTCGGGGGAAAGGGTTGGGGCAATGGCCATGAACCTGTGTCAGGCAACGTGCTTGTATTCTTACCCTGCCACACATGCTTGGACTAGACTATGTCGAGGCTGGGTGACCTCCCCTGCCCACGCCGCTCCTTGATCACAACCCTGGCAATTCTACAGCGGCCACAGTATTTCCTTGTGGGGATGGGCAGGGATGAGACCTCTGTCTAGGGGTCTTGGGTGCCTCATTCAGGCTGTCACTCCCATCCACAGCTGGCGTGTCTGTGGCCAGCCAGGATTCCTGAAAGCAGAGGCATCCGAGGCATGAGTTACAAGTGGAGTCTAGTGCAGCGTGATCTCCGTGCTCTTTCTGCTGAGAGTACTTTAAATGGGTACAATGCAAATCACAGAAGGGTAGAGTTGGCAGGCAGGGTGGTGCCAGGCAGGCCCCACCAGGAGTTCCCAGCCAGGAAATGCTCCAGGGGGATTCTAGGCCCAGGTTCACCATGGGATTTGGGCAGACTTGGCCCTGCCTCCCCAAAGCTTGCAGGATAGCAATAACAATGATCCCCAGAGAGGAAGCCTGTGTGGGGCAAGCACAGAGAATCCACCAACCCAGCAGATGGGTGGGTGTCAAGTAAGGCTTCCTGGAGTATATAGCTGGAGCTAAGGCCAGGAGAGAGTACTGGGCAGGGGGAGAGAGGTGAGCATCTCAGGCTGCCTGGGATCGAGTCAGGGGAGGAGTGGACTGCACAGGCATTGTGACTGTTTAGGTCATCTGGACTTTATCTTGAGGGCCTCAGGGAGTCTTGGGTGGGCCTGCAGATTTCTGAGGCTGAGGGGCATGGCATTGGGAAACACGTGGTCTGTGGCTGGCACACAGCCATTTTGCCTGGATTAATGCTAACCACACTCATCAATTCAGTCAGTCTGTTTATTCTAGGTCACAGCAGAAGAGCCTCAGACCCCACCCAGAATCACAGAGAAGCAGGAGTCCTAACCTGCCCAGCTTCTCAGGGAGGGAGGCTGCTGGCCTTAGCCCTGGGAGACATCGTGGTGGGCAGTTGGACAAGCAGCTCCTGGGCACAGAGCAGGGATCTGACCTTGACTGTCAGAGGACCAGAATCCTCTAGGGGTGGGTCCTGAAATGGTGGTGGAGGAAAGAGAGGCCGGAGAGATGTGATACAGAAGACCCTGGGCAAGGGGAAGGAAATGGCAAGGCCATTTCCACCTCTTGCAGCCTCAGTCTCCTCATCTGTTAAGTGGAAGAGTAAGGCTGTCCCCTCCCAGTGTTACTTGAGGTGAAAGGCATGCAGATGGCTCTTGTCCTGGTTCCAGGCACAGAGGGGCTCAGGAAGTGGCCACTGCTATTTTTAGAGGCCACACAGCCTGACCAGGGCAAGGAGCATCTGAGCAAAGCAGATCTGGTGACTTCCTCTTTTAGCCATTTCCCGTTTGGTAGAGACAGTGACCAGGGTCTTCGCCCTGCCCTGCCCAGTCTACAGACATGTCATCCAGAGGCTATCGTGATGGGGACTCCCCACCTCTGCACCCATACCATGAGGGGAGGTGAAGGCAGGTGCCACCCCTGCCTCTCATGGCACCCTGAAGACACTGGGATGGTGCCCAGGGAGGGCGTGCCCTATGCAGGGCTGGATTTACAGTCAGTGCCCAGTGAATGTCCAGGAGAGCCCAGTGCTGGTTTTCACTAGATGATTGTGGACCCTAAACGGGGATGTGTTTGGGAAGTGGTGAGAGCATGGCATGTGGGGGCAGGTGAGGCCTGAAAGGTCACTGGGAGTAACGAAACTGTGAAGGGCTTTGAAGCAGTGGGGAGGGATATGGGTGTCACCAGGGCCCCAGAGTTCTGAGTAGACTGAACGGGCTGGCTGGGATGGAGAGAAGTCACCCAAGGGCCTGGACTGTGGTGATAATGGTGCTGGTTCAGGGTGGCTGTTTCCAACATGGGCTCCCAGCCATGCCAGGGCCCTCCAAATGATCTGTTCTCTGGCACCTTACTGGACTCTGGCCTTTAGTAAGGCCTGGGCCCTTGTTAGGCTGGCGGGTGCCAGTGTAAGCTTCTCTCAGCTATGTTTCTGTTCATTTCCCTCCCACAAGCCTATCCTGGATACTTTGGTTGAATTTTAGCCAAGTGGCCAAGAGCTCTGTTCTGTTTCCTTCTTCCTCTCTCACGGTGAACAGGACCCTGTCTTCTCTGTAGCCTGGGATAGCTATGGGTGGAAGACTTTGGGTTCAAGCCCCCAGTGTATATATCTTTTTTTTTTTTTTTTTTTTGAGACCGGGTCTTGCTCTGTCGCCCAGGCTGGAGTGCAATGGCACGAGCTCACTGCAACCTCTCCTCTTGGGTTCAAGCAATTCTCCTGTCTCAGCCTCCCGAGTAGCTGGGATTACAGGCATGTGCTACCACGCCAAGGTGATTTTTTGTATTTTTAGTAGAGATGGGCTTTCACCATGTTGGCCAGGCTGGTCTTTTTTTTTTTTTTTTTTAGAGACGGGGTCTCATTCTATTGCTAGGCTGGAGTGCAGTGGTGATCTTGGCTCACTGTAACCTCCGACTCCCAGGTTCAAGCGATTCTCCTGCCTCAGCCTCCTGAGTAGCTGGCATTACAGGTGCGCGCCACCACACCCGGCTAATTTTTATATTTTTAGTAGAGACGGGGTTTCACCATGTTGGCCAGGATGGTCTCTATCTCCTGACCTCGTGATCCACCCACCTCGGCCTCCCAAAGTGCTGGGATTACAGGTGTGAGCTACTGTGCCCGGCCTGCCAGGCTGGTCTTGAACTCCTGACCACAAATGATCCACTCACCTCCTCACCTCCCAAAGTGCTGGGATTACAGGCATGAGCCATCATACCCCACCTCAAGGGTATATATCTAATGATAGGACCTTGGCCAAACTTTGGAGGTTCTGGAATGCAAAGGGGTCTCCAAGCCCCTCCTCCCAGACACAGCTCCCATCTGGGTCCATTAACCATAGAAACTATGTGTAAAGGTGTGTCTGTGTTTGCTGGGGGTGATTCAGACCAAAATCTCATTTAACAGATATGGAAACAGAGGCCTAGCATGGGGAGTGACTTTACCTTAAACCCCTTTCCAATAATCTGAATGGCCCAGGAGGATGTTCCAGTGAATATCTAGGAGACTTACTTTATCTGGAGTTGGAGACAGTGTTAGGGCCCTTCCCCAAACATGTCAGGCCTCTCCCAAGCCCCCCACAGGCATCTCTGCACTACACAGCAGTAGCAGCTTTTCTGCACAAAAATGGTTCCCTGGCCTTTGAGTCAAGGTCCCTGCTCTGAATTTCCTGCCACTGGCACTGTGCTTTAATTTGAGGTGTGGAACTGCACAGGTCTGCCATAGTATCTGTGGCTCTTCAGGGGGTCTGCTGCAGACATCAAAGTTCTTGGGAGTCTTGAACCTGCCGGGGCAAGGGCTCACACATGTCCTGTGCCCCCTGCAGTCCCTGGTGATTTGGGGAACCAGCTGGAAGCCAAACTGGATAAGCCGACAGTGGTGCACTACCTCTGCTCCAAGAAGACTGAAAGCTACTTCACAATCTGGCTGAACCTGGAACTGCTGCTGCCTGTCATCATTGACTGCTGGATTGACAATATCAGGTGGGGGCTGGGGCACACAGCGGGGGTGCTGCTTACCAACAGGCCTGAGAGGCCTCCAGAGCCTGTTTCTTCTATCCTCATCTCGAGGTCACTGACCTCTCTCCTTCCCCAGGTCCTCGGTCTGGTCTGGTCGGCACCACCTCTGCACTCCCAGGCAGAACTAACTTTCCCTTCCAGCTACCCTTGTTCTTCTGCTCTCCAGCCCTGGCCTCTCATGCCTACACACAATTTTTTTTTTCTTTTATTTTGGGACGGAGTCTCGCTGTGTCACTCAGGCTGGCGCCTTCTTGGCTCACTGCAACCTCCACCTCCCAGGTTCAAGCAACTCTTGTGCCTCAGCCTCCCAAGTAGCTGGGACTGTAGGCGCCCACCACCATGCCTGGCTAATTTTTTTGTATTTTTAGTGGAGATGGTGTTTCACCATGTTGGCCATGCTGGTCTCGAACTCCTGAGCTCAAGTGGTCTGCCCACCTTGGCCTCCCAAAGTGCTGGGATTACAGGCATGAGCCACTGCACCTGCCTACACAAAATTTCTGTGCCCCAGCCACTATTCAGAGCCTTGGCATGGCCCCCACCCCTTTCCTTGTCTGTGACTTGGCCTCCCCTATGTCTCCAGCTGCTTGTTCTTCTTGGGACACGCCATGTCTTTGCACCCGCTGTTCTTTTGGCCTGGAATCTATTTCTATACCCTTTGCCTGATAAATGTGCTTCCATTCACCCTTTAAAACATGACCCTAGGCCAGGCACTGTGGCTCTCCTATAATCCCATCACTTTGGGAGGCTGAGGCAAGCAGATCACCTGAGCTCACGAGTTGAAGACCTGCCTGGGCAACATGGTAAAACCCCATCTCTTCCAAAATTACAAAAAGATTAGCTGGGCATGCACCTGTAGTCCCAGCTACTTAGGGGGCTGAGGCAGGAGAATTGCTTGAGCCAGAGAGGCAGAGGTTGCAGTGAGCAGAGATCACACTACTGTACTCCAGTCTGGGCGGCAGAGCAAGACCCTGTCTCAAAACAACAACAACAACAACAAATCAACCTGACCCTGGTCCCTTTGTGATGGCTCCCTTTTGACTCCCCAGAGAGGTTTGCCTCTCCTCCTCCCAGGCCCCGTGCTTGTTTCCTCTAAATGTCATCACGTGCCCAAATTTGTCTCCAGGCATATTTCCCCAAATTACACAGGCACTACACATTTTATATACTTACTTTCGTTTAGTCTTACAGCAACCCCATTTTGAAATAGGTGGTGGTTTTTTTGTTTTTTTTGTTTTTCACCAGTGTTACTTGCCAACAGGTGGTTTTTAAACCTGCTTTACAGCTGGGAAATCTGGAAGCTCAACGAGGTTACAGTGATTACCTGTGCTCACTCAGCTAATAAGTGGTAGAATCAGAATTCAAACCCAGAATGTGTGGCTCTGAGCTGAGGTTCCCTCCCAGGCTGAGCTCCGTGAAGGGAGGGAGTCTCTGTTTTATCTTTATAGCAGTAGAACCAGAAACACAGTTGGTGCGCGATACATGTTTGAGCTGAATGGAGTCTCCCAAATTAAAAGTTTTCCCGGTCGGGTGCAGTGGCTCATGCCTGTAATCCCAGCACTTTGGGAGGCTGAGGTGGGCAGATCATGAGGTCAGGAGTTCGAGACCAACCTGGCCAACACAGTGAAACCCTGTCTCTACTAAAAATACAAAAATTAAGACTGGGCATAGTGGTTCACGCCTGTAATCCCAGCTACTCAGGAGGCTGAGACAGAATCGCTTGAACCTGGGAGGTGAAGGTTGCAGTCAACTGAGATTGTGCCATTACACTCCAGCCCAGGGGACAGTACAAGACTCTGTCTCAAAAAAAAAAAAAAGAAAATACAAAAATTAGCTGGGCGTGGTGGTACACACCTGTAATCCCAGCTACTCGGGAGGCTGAGACAGGAGAATCACTTCAACTTGGGAGGCAGAGGTTGCAGTGAGCAGAGATCGGGCCACTGCACTCTAGCCTGGGTGACAGAATGAGACTGTCTCAAAAAAAAAAAAAAAAAAAGTTTTTCCCAGAGACTTTCTAGCTGCTCCTCCAGGCGCCCTGGCCTGCTGGCTGTTTGTGATGCCCATTTTGTTGACTCCTTCCTCCTCTGTGTGTTGTGTGACCGGGGTTATTTCTGGACTGTTGATGTGCATTTCTATTTTTATACTGGGGACACGGCCTCAGGTGTTGCCAGTTGGAGTGCCAGCTGATACCAAGAGGGGTATGTCTGCCTTCACTGCTTCTCTGACCTGTTTAGATTTTCACCCAGACAGAACTGCTTTGGCTTTCCAGAACAGTTTTCTGCATTTTGCTGTTTGATAATTTTTTATTTTTAGTAGCAACAAGCTACTTTGCTGTGTGGTCATTGGGATAATCTACGAATTCCTCTGGGGAGCATGGGCCTCTAGGACCTGTTATCTGGGTCAGTTGTGGGGATCCTGTCAGCTTTCTGTGGTTGATATCTAAGGGGACAAGTGGAACTCAGAACCACCAGAAACTCCAGGTTCCTGTGTTTTGGGGGGCACATTTACCTCTTCAGTGTGAGGTGAGGCCAGAGCAAGGTTCCCGGCCTAGCACAAAGGCATAAGGCTTTTCTTCTGGTATAAGGTGTCCGTCTGCCCCTCGCCCTGTTCCCATCATTTATTCAGGCCTTGACAACCCTCTTCCCACAGGATATGGTGCCATAGCCGTGTACTTAGGCCTGAGGTGGGGTCTGTCCTGTCTGGTTCTGTTTGGCACTGCAGCTACAGAAACTATGAGATAATGTGTGTGGTGTTAGAAGTTGCTGAGTCTGCGGTAATTTATTGCACAGTTCCAGAAAACTAATAGGCCGGGTGCAGTGGCTCATGCCTGTAATCCTAGTGCTTTGGGAGGCTGAGGCAGGAGGATCACTTGAGCCCAGGAGTTTGAGACCAGCATGAGCAGCATAGTGTGGCCCTATCCCTACAAAATAAATAAACAAATAAATAAATAAATAAGCCAGGCACGGTGGTGCCTGCCTAGCTATTCAGGAGGATGAGGTAAGAGGATCACTTGAGCCCAGGAGGTTATGGCTACAGTGAGCTATGATGCCCTCACTGCACTGCAACCTGGACAGAGTGAGACCCTGTCTCAAAAAAGAAGAAGAAAGAAAACTAAGAAAGGGCTGTTAGGGATCTCAAGTCAGTAGCTGGTGGTCTATGTCCTATGTCATGGCGCTTAGGAATTTGCTGGGCAAGCCCTGGGCCTTGTGGTTGCAGTCTGACAGGTGATACAGCCCTGGGGTGCCAGGGGGTCATAGGAGCGTGGTTCATTCCCTTCCTCCATGCAGGATGTGTTTGGAGGTTGACTGGCTGCTGTGTCCAATGCCCAGAGGAAGTGGGACCCAATTATACCTACCTGGGGCCACACAAGGCCTTCCCCCTGTCTCTCCCCACCAGCTCCCATCATTTCTCTGGGCCTTGCCCCTTCTGTCTGCCTACCCACCCACATAGCAGCCCTGAGGCATGGTGCCTTTCTAGGGGTTTTTTTTTGTTTTTTTTGTTTTTGAGATGGAGTTTCGCTCTTATTGCCCAGGCTGGAGTACAGTGGCACGATCTCGGCTCACTGCACCTCTGCCTCCCAGGCTCAAGCAATTCCCCTGCCTCAGCCTCCCGAGTAACTGGGATGACAGGTTCACGTCACCATACCTGGTTAATTTTTGTGTTTTTAATAGAGATGGGGTTTCACCATGTTGGCCAGGCTGGTCTCGAACTCCTGACCTCAAGTGATCTACCTGCCTCGGCCTCCCAAAATGCCGAGATTATAGGCGTGAGCCACTGCACCTGGCCTAGTGGTTTTTTTGTTTTTGATTTTGTTTTTATGAGACAGGGTCTTACTTTCCTGCCCAGACTGGTGTGTAGTGGCATGATCATGGCTCACTACAGCCTCAATATCCCAGCTGCAAGTCATCCTCCTGCCTCAGCCTTCCAAGTAGCTGCGACCACAGGCCTGCACCACCATGCCTGGCTAATTTTTTATTTTTAGTAGCAACAAGGCCTCACTATATTGCCCAGGCTGGCCTTGAACTCCTGGCCTCAAGTATTCCTCCCACCTTGGCCTTGCAAAGTGTTGGAACTACAGGTGTCAGCCACTGCACCCGGCCCTTGTCTGGTTCTGTTGTGTACTGCACTCACCATCTCCTTTGCCTGGGATATGTTGGGTGGCAGGAGCTGGATGCAAGGAGATGAAGCGATGGGAAGCTGAAAGAGGGTGGACTGCCTCTTGGGGTCCAGTGTGAAGTTCACAGCAGAACCAGGACTGCTGCCTCCTTCTCCCAGCCAGGTCCAAGACCCTCATTCTAGGGTAGGGTCACGGGGGAGAGGGGAACGTTGTTTTGACAGGGGTCCTGGGGTCAGTGTTTGGAGTAAGTATGTGTTGGTGAGGTTCTTGTTTGAATGTAATTACTCTGATCTGTGCTTTTTTTTTTTTTTTTTTTGAGACGGAGTCTTGCTCTGTCGCCCAGGCTCGAGTGCAATGGCGTGATCTTGGCTCACTGCAACCTCTGCCTCCTGGGTTCAAGCGATTGTCCTGCCTCAGCCTCCTGAGCAGCTGGGATTACAGTAGCCTGCCACCACACCTGGCTAATTTTGTATCTTTAGTAGAGACGGGGTTTCGCCATGTTGGTCAGGCTGGTCTCAAACTCCTGACCTCAGGTGACCTGCCAGCCTCAGCCTCCCAAAGTGCTGGGATTAACAGACCTGAGCCACTGCATCTGGACAATTTTTGTATTTTTAGTAGAGACGGGGTTTCACCACATTGGCCAGGCTGGTTTCAAACTCCTGACCTCAGGTGATCTGTCCGCCTCAGCCTCCCAAAGTGCTGGGATTATAGGACATCTGTGCTTTATCAACCTGCTTTGTTACTTTTTGGTCTCTCCTATCCATCTGACTAAACCTGGGCATGGGAAGGGAGTATGACTCAGGACATGATGCACTGTTGGGACACACCAAGCTCCGTGTCCCCTCTGGGTCACTGGCTCGATATCCTCTCACAACAGGCTGGTTTACAACAAAACATCCAGGGCCACCCAGTTTCCTGATGGTGTGGATGTACGTGTCCCTGGCTTTGGGAAGACCTTCTCACTGGAGTTCCTGGACCCCAGCAAAAGCAGCGTGGGTATGTAGCCCTCACTCAAGGCCTCCAGGAGCTGGGATGGGGGTTCTGCTGGACTCGAGCTGGAGCTGGAGGAACTCTGCTGGTTTGTACAGACAGCCTGTGAGCTGTCTCTGATCAGCGTCGGCACAGAGCCCTGTAGCATTCTTCCAGGGACCTGCCGACTCTCACAGTCTCCATGCTGGGCATAGTGTAGGTGGCCGGCACTAGCTATATCTTTTCTTATCCTCTGTATTTCTGTCTACAGGTTCCTATTTCCACACCATGGTGGAGAGCCTTGTGGGCTGGGGCTACACACGGGGTGAGGATGTCCGAGGGGCTCCCTATGACTGGCGCCGAGCCCCAAGTAAGCAGGCACTCTCGTTCCCTCCCTGAAGTCTCGGGAGGTAGGGGCGAGGTGATCATGGGCACCACAGGTCTTGGGCTCTCCCCTTGTCCTTGGCTGTCCCCTGTCCCTGGGCCTCTGGCATCCAGTCTAGTGGTCACAGCCACCACCCTTGGTCAGTCTTATCCTGTCCTCCATTTCCCACCCTGGGACCTCTGGGCCTCTGAGCCCTGGGGAGAAATATAAGGCTTCCTCCCTTCATGGAAGGCAGGGGGACCCAGACCACTCCGTTTGAATGTGAGCACCCTCCCCTCCCCTCTCATCTTGTGTCTGGCCTGAGAAAAGCTCAGTGGTTCGGGCTCCAGGACCCTTCCCGCCTGACCCCTGCCTGGCTCTGGCCTGCAGATGAAAACGGGCCTTACTTCCTGGCCCTCCGCGAGATGATCGAGGAGATGTACCAGCTGTATGGGGGCCCCGTGGTGCTGGTTGCCCATAGTATGGGCAACATGTACACGCTCTACTTTCTGCAGCGGCAGCCGCAGGCCTGGAAGGACAAGTATATCCGGGCCTTCGTGTCACTGGGTGCGCCCTGGGGGGGCGTGGCCAAGACCCTGCGCGTCCTGGCTTCAGGTAAGACCCTGCCTGGCCCAGTGTGGGGGGCTGTTGCCAGGAATTCTGCCCTCTCTTCCCTTCCAAAGTGTCCTCCTAGGCCAGCATGCCTCATGTCTGTCCCACGGTGTGTGGGGTCTATGCAAATCTACCCTTAAAAGTCCAAGGAAGAAAGAGGCTGACAAATCTAGTTTCTCAGAGAAAAACATTTAATAGGGACATACGAGTAGAAGCCACATCTGTGTCTCAGGTGGTGGCTAGACAAGATGGTGGATCCCCACACTATTAGCCCCCAGACCCAGAGCTTATATTCTATAGGGAAAGGGCGACTCTGATGCGATGTGTTGAACATTGAAGGATGATAACACAGAGGCTGTGTGAGATTTATGGTAAATATATGCACAAGGAACAGTAGATAAAGTGGAAATCTCAGTGGCCTTCCTGGATCTGGGGTTAATCAGAAGCCAACATGGTGGATTAGTATGCAAGATGGAGTTGCTTTGGTCTCCACAATGACTCCTCTCTTGGGTCAACCCTCTTTTTTTTTTTTTTTTTTTTTT